GCTTTCATCTTGCCTCTGAAGACTGTGGATTCTCCTTGGTTAGTTCATTCATTGTGTATTTATTGAATTTAATGCATGCCAGACTCCAAACTAGGTCCTGAGTGTATGATGACAGATGAGGCATTCCCTGACCCTTCCCTTCTGGGGCTCAGTCTAATGGGAAATTCTGCTACAAATAAAATCATTTAAATATCTGTCAAGCCCAATGGGTTTGGGGTTACTTACACTTTGTTCCAAGATGTATTTATATAAGAAATAAGAAGATAAGACAATTACTAGTATGACAGAAACAAGTCAGATAAAGTCACCAATACATAGGTAATCAAAAATGCACAACTATCATACTCAATGAGAGTCCAACTTCCATAAATCACAGTGAAATTTTTAATGACTATGTCTTTTTATTCTATTATTCAAATTAACAAAGAACATAACTGCAAATTTAAAAATGTACAGAAAAATGTAGATATATGTTTTTGTTGCTGTCATGCTAAAAGGAAAGTAGAAGTTTAATATGATGAACTTCCAGAACCAAATAGCAAAACAACAATGCAATTAAAAATGAGCAGCATATCTAAATAGAAATTTCCCCAAAAAGGACATACAAATGGCTGACAGGTACATGAAAAAACTACACAGCATCAGGGAAATTCAAATCAAAACCACAACGGGGTGGCACATCACCCCAGAAAGAGTGATTGCTGTCAAAAAGACCAAAAAAGGAAGTGTTTGTGAGGAGATGAAGAAAAGGACTGTTTTGCACACTGTAGGAATGTGGGAATTAAATTAATATAGCCATGATGGAAAACAGTATGGAGATTCCTTCAAAAATTACCAATAGAACTATCATATGATACAACCATTTCATTTCTGGGTTACATAGCCAAAAGAAGTGAAGTCAGTAAATTGGAGAGCTACCTGTACTCCCATGTTTATGGCATCACTATTCACAATAGCCAAGAAATGGGAAGAATCTACATGTTTATCAACTGATGGATGGATAGAGAAAGGCACCCATGTGCAATGGAACATGTTCTACCATGTTAAAAGAATGAAATCCTGTTATTTGTAAGAACATTGATGAAACCAGAGATCATATGTAAGTGAAATAATTCAGGTACAGAAAGACACATGGTCTCATTCATACGAAATGCAAAAATGTCGATCTCATAGAAGTTGGGAGTTGGATGGTGGTTACCAGAGGCTGGGGAGATTAGCAGGGAGGGAAGCAGAAATGTTGATCAATGGAGTGTAAGTTACAGTTATGCAGGAGAAAGGAGTTCTGATGTGCTGCTGCAAAGCAGAGTGACTATAGATAACAGTAATGAACTGTACATTGGAGAGCTTGAATAAAGAATTTTGACAGGTTTTACCATAAGCAAATGATGAATGTAGGAGTATACAGATAGGTCTAAACTGATTTGAACAGAATATCATGCATGATTGTTTAGAAACATTGCAGATGTAATCCCATCAAGATGTACAATTCTGACATAGGGCCACCTTAACTTTGCCTGGGCTGGTCTCAAATTCATGATCCTCCTACCTCCTCCTCCTGTGCAGCTGGCATTGTAGATGTGCATAACCCACCCACCCAATTTTCATGTTTTTATATATATCAGTTAAAATAAGTTTTAAATTCAATTAAAAAGTCATATTCTTGTATTTAAAGTCTGCCTCCAAATATATTTATTTCTAAAACCTACTTTCAGCAAATGTGTTTTCAGAATTAGACCTTTGGATTCTGACCATGATTATTCTCTGAATTCAGATACTTTGAAATACCTGGGCAACATATGAAATTATAATAATTTATAATACTGTAAATTTATTACCATGTTAAGGAAAATATTGACTATTGATAAATTGTAAATTTTTACAAGGTACAAAATGGTGCTATATTATAAAGATACAATAGGAAATGACCAAATCAAGTTAAAATTTTATTAAAAATATTCATTTTTCAAGAAAAAAACATTTCCAAAGTGGAATAAAGAGAAGTCACTTTTATAATGGTCACATTAATTGGAAAGCTCGTGATTTGCCTTATGGTCTTTTAAAGAGAACCAACTTCCAAAAATAATAACTCATCACGACTGGTTTTTCTTAAAGTATAATTTTGGAATAAGGGTAGAACTCATCAGAATTTTTCCCATGATGTAAAGTATCTAACATAAGGAAATTGTATATGCGCAGTGTTTTTATTCAATGGGAATTTACGTTTGGATAGAGGTTGTAATATTTAAGGGATAAGTGGGTGCTAAGAATATGCAGAGCTATCAGCACTGTAGAACAAAGACGCTGTTGTTCAGGCAGATTTTCACCTGCTACCACTTGCCATCCTTCCCTCTGACGCAGAGCACAGTGGCCTATTTCAGGACCCAGGGAGGCTCTGGAGCCTGAAGGAGGCTTGGAGCAGAGGGAGATTGTCCATGGAATTATCCCCTTTTGCAAGCTTAATTTTACCTAGTGGTCATGTTGCTTTAATAAAAATATGAAAAAGAATTTGGCACTTTGGGACAATTCTCTAAGTGTAGCTTTACAGTGCTTACCCACTAGTGTGAAAAATGGGATATTGATTGGGGCAAATCCCAAGGTGAGATGCATGTGGTGTCACTCTGTCAATAAGGAATTACTTTGGGTTCATCTTCACAGCTGCAAGCATAAATGTGTTGCTTTGGGCTAGTTTGATACTGGAACACTCTGACGTTCAATCTCACTGTCATGTCCAGGTGAGGGCAAAGCAGGAAGCAGGTCTCTTGTCCATCCCAAGTCCCCGTCCCGCTCAGGTCTCGGCCACACTTGATGGGTCTTCAGTTTTTCAAGCTTCAAGGTGTTTTGTATAATAGCAATACACATCAAATTCTACTGAATGAAAATTATCATTGAGATTTTATTTCAGTTATTATGAATTAAATCACATCCCTCATTCTTACACCTGACACCTGGATTTGTTCATGTTGGTGGGAGGTTTGAGAAGTTCATATTTTTAAAAATATGTATACATGTTTTTGTTTATTTTGTTTTTGAGGAGGGAAAGAAAGGACCACTACAAAAATATATAATATATGGAACAAAAATAGGCAAATGAAATGATATAACAGAAAATCAAAAGGAATTGGGATATATTTTCTTGAAGTGGGGAATAACTTTGTAAACATGGCATAAGACATTTAGATGCTATGAAAAAAATACTCACAAATATTATTGCATAAGTTTCATATTATTCTTACCTCGAGAAAAACATTTAATGACAAACAGGAAAAGATTATGCCATCTGGTTGAATTTTAATACAATAACCATGTAAAAAAACCAAAGACCTATGAAGGACACCAAGCAGGAGCTGGATGTGGAAAGAAGTTTACACACAGGAAAAACTGATCAGTGTACACACTCATACCAACTAAGCCCTACCCTAACTCACCACTTAAGGAACAAAACAGACCATAGGGAAATTCTGGATTTTTTCATCTACCATGAAGGGATAAATTAAACAATGTCCAGTGTGGAACAGAGTGGGGAGAAGAAAACACCTACATATTGATTGTTGGTGCAAAATTAATTATACCCCAGACTTTTAACTCTTCAGTTCCTCTTACAGGATTTTATCCCATACAAAACTTGTACCAAAATCAGCATTGCATCCTTGCTTTTAGAGGAGAAACTTAAATTAAGGTTGGCTTAAATGGATACTATATAGCTAATAAAAGGAATAAGGTAGAACTATGTTTATTGGCAAAAAGAGTGTGGTGTTTTTAGGTATAAACAGCAAAACATGAAATGTGTATACTCACATTTCTACACACTACAGATTGTTTATTATCTAGTATGACATAAATCATATCGTTATATGTAAGGGTAACAAAATGTAGTATATGTAAATACATAATGTATATATGTAAATTTATATATATGTATAATTTATATATGTAAAACTGCATGCAGGCAGTTTTATAATACAAATGTGTGGAGAAAATATTTACAGAATACTTAAGCTAGTATCACCATCCCTACTCCTGAGAAAGAAAGACTTCTATCTTGCTCTTTACAACTGTTTTGGTTGAATTTTTACATGGAGGTCATGTATCAAAGTGTTCTGAGGTTATATTGACAAGAAATTGTTTAGCACCCTGTTGTACCCCTACCTAACTCTGTTTCTGCCTAGGCTTTTAAAGCCATTCCTATTTAACTTTTTAGGTAGCTGATAGATAATTATTCTATAATAACTTAATGAATAATGGCTTTGAGCCATTATCTCTGGTATTTATAATGAGGTGGCATAAATTCTCATCTAATGAAGTTCATGTTATATTTAGATATCCCCCACCTATAACTTCTTATCTAATAGATTGGATATTATAGAATTAACTATATGAAACCACTTATAAATTGAAATCTTTTAATACCTTAAAACTACAGTGCCCAAAAGGAAGACACCCCTACTGTATTAAATTAGCACTAGCCACATGCAGTGTTTTAGAAATACCTGCTTGTCCTTGGGGGCATTTCTAAATTTTTTGCCTCAGTTTTCTCATACCCAGAGAGGTGTGGTGCTGCTGCTGATTATGGTGATGGCAAAGGTAAGGTGAAAATCTTAACATCTGGCTATCATGGTTGAGTGTCTCAATGATGTAATAGTTTGTATTGTAGTTAATATCAACAGATGGCCCTATTATTAAGCAGATGATAATGGTGATCAGAGTGATGGAGGTGATGGAGAAAATAACTATTATTATTTTTGGACATTGGAAAACTCTGACTTTAGCCCAGTTATGTCTTCAAAATGCTCCTATGTGCATATACACTCAACTCTCTTGTATTTTAGATAAGATGTAGATGTTTCAACCAAAAGAAGCAGTTTAATGTTAATCAGATACCAGGATAGCTACACTCTTCATTGTGCAGACTGCATAAGTACCATCAGTGCTTCTCCCATCCCCTCTCCTGCATTAGCCTGGTCAGGCTTCCTCTCCACTGACCCTTTGCTGTGTGTTTGCAGCACATGCATTGGGGCTCAGGATCCTTACTGTGGATGGGACATGGTGATGAAGAAATGCACGAGCCTGGAGGAGAGCCTGAGCATGACGCAGTGGGAACAGAGCATCTCTACCTGTCCGGTAGGTGCCCACATGCTCTGGCTTCTGAAAATACCGCTCACGGGAGAAGGGGAGGGAGTTCACCCTCCTGACAATTCTATGCACGCACCTTGGGTGCCTGCAGTTTTCCACACTGGAGCAATTCCTGCAAACCTAGTCTGCTTTCTACATGCTTTCCATTCGTACCTTGCAGTAGGGCCACACAAGATCTCCCATGCTTTTTGTCTATTTGAAATGTCTTAACCAAAAACAGTGCTGGTTTGCACTGTTTTCTGCTTGATTCTTGGAAAGTTTTTTCCCTGCAGAGTTTGGTGTTGACTCTTTTGTCTCTGGTTGCTCTAATAAAATGGGAATTTCCATACTCATGCATTTCCCTTGGGGAATATAATTCCTGAAGTTGACAAAGGCAAAGATTTGAAAAGAGTAAACTAGAGGATATTATTTTGACCCCATGTGTGGCTGACTCATCGACCCTGCTCGGGTCACAGGAAGGCCTGGGAGAAGCAGCCTAATGTTGGTTCCCACACTGAACCCTCAGAAATGAGGAGAAACAACTGCATTTAGAGGTAGACCCTGAATCCAAGAAAAGCACATCCCACAATCTCCTCTGCTCATTTGTTTGTTTGGGTCTTCACTTGCAATACTTTTTTTCCTTTAGAACTCTTCATCCAGCAATTTCAAATTCTTCTGTTCTCTTAGCACATAAGCAACAACTGCTAATGTCCACAAATTTGAAACATTGCTAAGTCACTTTCCATAATGTAGCTGCCTTTCTGTTCTGGCACAGCTCTGCAAGGTAGCTGGGTGGAAAGAAAAGCTGCACAATTTGTGGGGAGAAGTCCTGACTTTTTTTTTTTTTGATGCAGTAGAATGGCCTAAGGTATCTGGATAGTCAGTCTATTTGCTTCCTATCGAGGATGCTGCTCTTTCCATGAGCTAAACCATGTGCATATGAAGCCTGTCTTTCATGAGCAGGCAGACTGGAGGGAGAAGACCAGGGCTATGGAACCAGTGTCCTTTGCCAGATGTCATGGTGGGATGGAACAAAGGCACCTGTGTGAATGCATCATCTCATCCAGACTCTGAAAGTTTACAAATGGGATTAGTTTAGCACCTTTAGTTTTGGGACTCCAGGATTTTAGAAGAAAAGAAGGAACATTTTCTTTCTTGTCTTCTCATTAGTAGTTAGAAAATGCGAGCATTTGTGCTAAGTCTCTCCTCATTTCCGAACAACACGTTAAGAGCACAAAGGTGATCACCTTAAATTCTTTGCAGGAGATAAAAACATAATGTATACTATCTGAAATGTAACTCCAAAGTACAGACATGTCCTTTAGAAAAATAAGTGCATCTTTCTGCAAATCTTTGACCTTGCATCTTTACTGGTTAAAAAAATTCCGAAATAATTGCAGTTCTTCCAAAACAATAAGAACATTGATCCTACTTGTTTGTTGTTTGAGTAAATAGCTGAGATATGTTGTTTCTATCATAGGAATTTCACTCTCATGCACTTGGTTTATAATAAATATATGTCTTGTGTATTTCTACAGTAAAAAAGAAAAATGAAGGAATCTAATATTTAAGAAGTGATCAAAGAGTTGTGACTAAGGTTGTTTCCTGCTAATGACAGGACAGTTTCTGTTGCAGTTGTAAGGCAACATGGATTTGTCCTCATGCTTTAAAAATAGAGTTGATCTCTAACTCAATGTTACTTGTAACAGGTCTGTTTCTTTGGATATGAGGTGATTCCATTATTCAAAACTATATCCCTATTGTCCTCCCTAATGGATTTTCTCACAGAATAATATGAACTTTTGATAAGTTAAGAATGTACAAAGAAGCCAACAGTAATGTAGAGAAACCTTCACTTACTTTTCCTGAAAATCATTGAAAAAAGTATTTGGTTTCATGTTACTTTACTTTATTCTATTGAAATGCAAGAGTTAATTTATTGGTTAGACCTCTCATATCCACATTTCATCATTTCTGACATTGGCTGTGAAGTATACCATCATTTATATATGTTGCAATCTTTTAATTTTTAAATTAGTTCCTTTATTTTTTGGGTTTTTTTGGTACTAAAGATTGAACCCAGGGCCTAATGTATGCTAGGAAACACTCCACCACTAAGCTATATCTCCAGCCCTTATATGTTGCCGTCTTTCATGGATTGCAAAATGTCAGCTAATTTTAGAAATGTTAAAATACAACAAAAAAATTCCTGTGATCAATTAATACTTTTCTTACCTTATCTACATGTACATACCTAAATATGTATCAAGAAATAAAACTTTATATCTAAAGGTTTTTGGATGAGAACAACATGTAAAAGTCTAAGTTGAATGAAAGAGAAGAGATCCTGTTACATCTAGCTCAATAAGAGAGATATGTTGATAGAATCTACCAAGTAAGTCTTCACAAACACTGGATCAATGACATAGCACCACTGAGTTCCCCAAAGTAGGTCTTTCAGTCAAACCTCACACAGTGCCTATGATTTATGGCTGTCTCGGTCTGTTTGTGCTACTATAAAAGAGTACCTGAGACTGGATAATTTATAAGGCATAGAAACTCATTTCTCACAGCCTGAAGGCCGGAAAGTCCAACATCAAGACATTTTGCCTGGTGAGGGCTTCCTGCTGTGTGTTCAGAAGGGTTAGGTGGGAGGGCAAGAAAAAGCCAGCTTCCTCTGTCAAGCTAATTAGATCTTACTCAAGTGCTTCAAATCCTCTAAACTGAGAGTAATATTCTCAGTCACAATTTTATAAGCAAACAGAATATCCTTAAGTATGCCAGTAAACTATTGCCCTGTCTTCTGGACCACAAAAATACCTACAAATAGGGCTCCTTTTGTGAGAAGTCATCATCTTTAAATCCCTACACCCTGGGAAAATTTTATTGGGGGTCTCCTCTCCCACTCAAACTCCTAGGGGAGCTGGGCAATCTCTAATCTGCACAATAATGCCATTCCCAGCTTTTAGTATCTCACCAAAGCTATGGCTGGCAAGTGGGCCAGTGATCCAGCTGTCACTCTGCACTCTGTGCTGAGAAAGCAGGCATGGCATTAGTTTTGCATTTTGCAAGGCAATCTACTGTAAGACAAGGAAAAAGTAAGTGAAGTTAAATTGTGTGTCTACAACATGTGCTCTGTGACACATTCAGCAAATTTCAGTGGATTATCTCATTTAATGCTTATGGTGACAGGATAGACATTATTGTATTCATTATATTGATGAAAGAATTGGACTCAGAGGCATTAAATAAAAGCTGACCCTATTCTTCAGTTCTAGCTGAGGCCATCAGGCCAGCTTAGTTCTCTTCAAAGGTCAATCTTTCCTTGTATCGCATTTGTAGAGATAGGCTTAGGGATGATATTAAATTGATGTCAGAACGCACGACCTATTCCTAAAGAGTATATCCAATATCCAATTTCATTGAAATCTCTGGCAGAAGGTACATGAAACTTTGAAAATAAAGGAAGATCTGTGTATTCTTAAAAATGTCTGAATAGAAAATGTCTGACTTCAATTTAACCATATGAGAATAATGACTGGAGCACAGCAACCATGAGCTGTAGGGACCTCTGAACTCACCAAATCCATCTAGACCATTGGCCAGTTGAGAATTAATGAATTGAACATGAATGAATCAAATATACTATTATGCATTATGCTCATTAAAAAAAAATTGGACCTTTCTTAGCTAGCATTGCCATTTCATTAGGTCCTAAGAGAAGTTAAATTAACTATTACACATGGGGATAAGGTTATATGAGTTTTATTCTTTTGCAACTCTAACCAAAGAAGACTATAAGAATCACATTACAGAATAATCAACTGAGATCACAGTTTCTGAACCCAGCTTGTTTGGACTGGTACTGGGTTTGTTTTTTGCTTTTTTTTTTTTTAAATAACCACAGTGACTTTGAGAAAATTTCTCCTCCTAACTAAGCCTCAGTTTTCTGTAAATACTTAGGATGTGGTGAACAGTCAAGGAGTTGATACACTTGGCATAGGCTACTGGTGCACAGTGCATGTTGTGCTGTAGTTTAATATTTTATTAGAAATCCCTAACAGAAATTCACCTGGGGAAGGTGGCGAGATGGTGGGTTGTTGGCGAGATGGTGGGTTGTTGGCGAGATGGTGGGTTGTTGGCGAGATGGTGGGTTGTTGGCGAGATGGTGGGTTGTTGGCGAGATGGTGGGTTGTTGGCGAGATGGTGGGTTGTTGGCGAGATGGTGGGTTGTTGGCGAGATGGTGGGTTGTTGGCGAGATGGTGGGTTGTTGGCGAGATGGTGGGTTGTTGGCGAGATGGTGGGTTGTTGGCGAGATGGTGGGTTGTTGGCGAGATGGTGGGTTGTTGGCGAGATGGTGGGTTGTTGGCGAGATGGTGGGTTGTTGGCATTCCTATAAACTAGCTCGCAACCACTCTCCCAAAAAAGGAAATAAGAGGAACCCAGAAGACACCCACAGTGTCCCCTAACCAGCAAGAAGCAAAACCCTCTCCAAATTTGAAAATAGAGACAATCTAACCACAGGAAGAATAAGAAGAATGACCTGCAGGTCAACACTCCAGACCTCCCCCCTCTGAAATTGCACGCAGCTCCAGGACTTACTCAGTGGTAAGTCCTGCTGCCCAGCACACACAAGAACTCTGAGCTCCATGCTCCCCATAACACGACCTGCTAACTTCACCCTGAAATGCCAGGGAAACCAATGCCCCTGTATAAGCAGGTCCCAAGGCTCCCACTGCTTCATAGGTAATAAAAGGTGCAAGCTAGCAAGCTCGGTTCCCCTGGCAACAGTACCACAGAACTGAGCTCCCTGAAGCCTGTGTGAGAGATTGGGTCCAGAACTCTGGCAGCATAGAGGCTTTGTTCTCCTAAGCCAATGGCAGTGCCAGAGGACTGTGCTTCCAGAAGCCCATGCAGGAAATTGGGCCCCAAAACCCCCACCACCTACTGGCTCAGTTCTTCTGAGTGGACAGCAGTCCCACAGAACTGTGCATCCTGAGGCCTGTGCAGGAAATCAGTTCCTGGAAATCTTGTTGCCCTCAGGCTCTGTTCTTCTAAACTGGCAGCAGCTGCTCTGTCTCCTAGAAGCCCATGCCCCAGTGCAAGTAGACTCCAGGGCCTCCACTGCATGGTGGGCCCCAGATGATTCCAATCTGCCAAACTTGCTGCCCCATGGTTCCCATTAACTTGCTACATGGTGCCGGCATTCTGCCACCACACATCCCAGTGAACCCTAGGCTCTAGGCCTTGCTAATCTGTTGCCAGGAGCTACAGAGCACAAAGGGCCAGCACTCCCCCCTGGCCCTGAGAGCAAGAGGGCCCTTGCTCACCAATCAAAGAGGAAGAATGACAAAATGCCCCCTGAGGGCACCAGAAGCCCAGCGCTTCACTCCACCTCCCTGCAATCACATCTCTCTTGTCCAAGAGCTGGACTCCCAGGTCCTCCACCAAGTGGCAATGCACCATCCTGCTGGTGCTAGAAGGCCTACCCCGACAATGCACAGAGACCCAGCTTCACCGCAACTGGAGGAGGGCCTCTGCATCCCCATAAAGACCAGGACCTCCAGCCCCCTGACTGAGGGGAGAAAAGAGGCAATTGCCACCACAACAAGAAACCTGCAAGGGTAACATACCCAACATACTCCTCTCTGAGGAACACTGCCTGAGCTCCAGGAGGAAAAAAACTTAAAACACCAACTACAGGGGCACAAGAGATTAAAACCATAACCAAAAACAACTCCAGATGCGTAAATCTCAACGCAGAATGAAACAGCAAGACAATTGATCTCCATCAAAAGCCAATTTCACTACTAAGTATCTAAAGCTGAATCAACTTAGAATGTAACATATTTATACATGGAAGCAATGCTAGGAATCTGCCTGTATAGCTATCCTATCTCAACTAGCAAAAATGCTTTGTCTTTCTTATTATTTTTATACTCTCTCTCTTCAACAAAATTAGAGATAAGGGCAGAACCGATTCTGCCTGAAAGTGAGGGGGGATCGAGGGGGAGAGGGAGGGGGCAGAGGTTAGGGGGAAGTGGCCCAAACAATGTATGCACATATGAATAAACAAGAAAAAAAAAGATATGGAAACTCTGAAAAATAATCAATCTGAAATAAAGAAGTCAATATCCCAAATAAATATCACATGGCAAACAGAGTGGAGCAAGCTGAAAGTGGAGTATCAGGAACTGAAGACAGAGTAGAGGAATTAGAACAAATGGCAAAAGATCATGAAAAAATTGCTAAGAAAATATGAATTAAATATGCAGGATATCTGGGACACCATGAAAAGACCAAACCTATGAATCATAGATGAAGAAGAAGGAGAGGAGATACAAACTAAAGGCATTGACAATATATTCAGCAGAATAATAGCAGAAAACTTTCCTAACCTCCAGAAAGAGAGTCACCCAGATTCAGGAAACTTACAGAACACCAAACCATAAGGACCAAAAGAGGAACACCCCCAGACACACCATAATCAAAGCACTGAGCACACAGAACAAAGAAAGAATTCTGAAACCTGCAAAAGAGAAAAGACTGGTCACACACAAAGCCAAACCCATTTGAATAACAGCAGATTTCTTAACTCAAACTCTAAATGCAAGAAGGTCATAGAAAGATATAATCCAGGCCCTGAAAGAAAATAACTGACAACCCAGACTAGTCTACCCAGCAAAACTATCCTTCCTAATTGAAGGAGAGATTAAAACTTTCCACAGCAAGGAAAAACTAAAGGAATTTGCAACCACCAAGCCAGAAGATACATAAGGGACTTTTACATATAAAAGAAGAAACTAGAGTGAGACAGGTAGACTCAAGAAAGAATAAACCCTTTTGAGCAAGCAGACCAGTAAACAAGGAATAGGTGAAACCAAACAATAGGGGAATGAAAATGTCTGGAAACAACAGGCATCTCTCAATACTAACAGTGAATATAAATGGCCTCAATGCCAAATCAAGAGATATAGAATAACAAATTGAGTTAAAAAGCAAGACCCAACCATATGATGCTTACAAGAGACTCATCTTACTGAAAAAAATAAACACTGGATTAAAGGCAAAGGGTGGAAAAAAGTTCTTCAAGCAAATGTACCCCATAAACAAGCAGGAGTAGGTATACTCACATCTGACAAAGTAGACTTCAAACTAAAATCAATCAGAAGAGACAATGAAGGGCACTCATATTAATTAAAGTAACAATTCAAGAGGAAATATCAACCCTTAACATATATGCACAAAACACAGGGGCACCTGTATACATTTTAAAAAACTCTAATAGCCCTGAGAACACAAATAGATGCTAACACAGTGATAGTGGGAGACCTGAATACCACACTATCACCAATAGATAGATGATGCAGATAAAAAATAAAGAACTTTCAGAGCTACTACACACATTAGACCAAATAGACACGGTTGACATCTACAGAGTATTTCACCCCACAACTAGGTAATATACATTCTTTTCTGCTGCTTGTGTAACTTTCTCCAAAATAGATCATATTTTAGGACACAAAGCAAGTCTCAACAAATTCAAGAAAATTGAAATAACTCCCTGCATCATATCAGATCACAACAGAATAAAGCTAGACCTCAACAACAGAAGAATGCCCAGAAAATACTCAAACACATGGAAACTGAACAACAAATACATGCAACACAGGAGGGGATAAGAGAAGCAAAAAGAGTTTTCTCTTCTTATCTGGAGAAAAATAATTTCCAGAAGCTAATTTCATTCTCCTATTGAGTCTCATTGACCAAATGGAGTACATATCCATTCCTAGACCCACTACTGGCCCAAGTTAGGAGGTTGCCATGTATGTTTTCAGCTTTCCATTGCTGGCAGAAGTGTGATGGAATAAAGCTGCTTACCTTGTGATAGCCAGAAAACAGAGAGCCAAGGACCTGGACAAGATATACCTTTACAGGTACCTCCCTCCCTCAGTGACCTACTTCCTTCAACTAGGTCCTGCCTCCTCATAGCCCAGTCAGCTATGAACTCAACAATGAACTAATCCGTTCATCATATTTTTGCTTTCACGGTCCAATCACCTTTCAATAGTATCAAAGCTGGGAATCACGCCTTCCACACATGAGCCTTTAGGGACATTTTGTATCAAGCCATGACTGCCTTATACTAATTGGGATTCCCCCAGGTCTTGGACAATTCTTCCTCTATTCTGACAATGCTGGGGAATAATTCCTGTTTTGAGCCCCAACGCCCTTTCCTTTAGATGTTTCCTTATTAAAAAAACTATTCACCCTGCAGGCTTTCCTGCATCAAGCTCTTTGGGTTGCAAGCATTTTGAAACTCAGTTTCCCTTCAGGAAAACTAGAGCTGTGAGCCCCTGAATCAGTGTTTCCTCCTGGTTTCTATGCTGTCTTGAGTTTGAGATTTCCTCGGAATCTCTTATAGGTACAGAATTCCAAGTTAGGTCCTTTTTCATTACTTTTGCATTTTAGAGGAGGAAATAAGGAGCAAGGGACTTGGAGAGAATATTCCTTGCCCCAGATCTTACCTTTCTCCAATTTGCTCTCTCAAAAGTTTCTGGTCAATATTGGGGCAACTCATAAACCCTCAAAAACTTACAAATGCATCCAGAATCCTGCTGGCTCTTTTACCTGGCCCATTCTTTATCCTAAGACTCAACACAGCAACTTGTTCTTCTCAGACCCCTTGATATTGTTGATTGTTCCCTATTTAGTTAGCAACCATAGCCCTGGTCATAAACCTCATCAGCCTTTACACAGAGAAGTGACTATGTGACCACTGACCTATAAACTTCTAGAAGGTGGTCCCAGCATAGCTTTGACAGAAATATGCCTGACATCTAGTAGAGCTCTAGTTGCTCAGTAGGTTTTCAGATGTTTTGAACTAAATCAAAATGCCATGTTGAGGTGAAATTTTGAAACTGATCTTCTATTTGTTTGAATGTATATAAATGTGCAATGGATTTGTACATGTGTGATTTTTCTTTCCAATTCTTCTGTTCTTTGAATTTCCCACATTAGTGGATAATTCTTCTAAAACCTGATCTCCAAGTCACCAGCATCCTTCATTCCTTCACTTCTTGCTCCTCCTTGCTCTTCCTTTTTCCTTTTTTCTTCCTCCTTTTCCTCTGGTCCTCATTCTCGGTCTCTTCCTTTTCTCTCCCTCCCTCCTTCTCTCCTTTCCTCTCCATTTATATCAGTGACCTCTGCTACTTCACTGTCACAGACTCTCTCTCAATCATCCCATGCTAACTGTAATTTAAAAAACATCCTGTAGGGGTTCTAACTGCCTCGTGAGTGGTATTTCAGTTTTACTCCATTTTGTTTACAGCTTTGCACTTTCTGACACCTTTACTTGTATCTGCCTCTTAGACCAGGAATCTCACCGTAGATGGGAACTTTGGCCCGTGGTCTCAGTGGACACCCTGCACGCACACAGATGGTGCTGCCATGGGATCCTGTCTCTGTCGGTCCCGCTCCTGTGACAGCCCAGCCCCACAGTGTGGTGGCTGGCAGTGTGAGGGCCCCAGCATGGAGATCGCCAACTGCTCCAGGTGGGTCCCTCAGAAAATGCTCATATACAGTCATGTTTGAACTCTAGTGGTTAAGGAGGTGAGAGGCAGAAAGACAGGGACACACAAACTGAAATAATACCTGATTTACAGACAGAAATTGCAAAGTATAAATCTAAATTTGTCCATATTTCCATCATCAAGTTAAGAAAGTATTATTAATGTATTGAATACGATTTGAGGGAAATCTCCATGTTACTTAGGAATCTCTTTGCAGAATATATGGACTAGTCATGCTTAGTCAATGTATGGATTGAATACCCAGGATACATGAGTCGGAAGATAGAAGAAGCAAAGTCCTGGATCGAAAACCAAAGTTGTCCTCCACAACCAGAGGAACGATTTAGACATCATGATCCATTAAATAGGTTCTGCTTCCTCTGCTCATGGGGTTGTTTGATTTTTTTTTTTTTACAACTCTACTCAATTTATTTCCCCTTTCTCTGCACTGGAGCACCATGACCATCAGAATTGGGAAAGTCTTTAAAGTCAGTTCCATTTCCCTCCTCACTTGCTCATTAATTTACATTATTAAAAAAAAGTATTGCTTTTTATGAGCCCACCTAAAATTCAGAAACCACTGGAATAGTTAACTGTGAAGTAACTGACAGTGAATCTCAGGTTGGGTGATTAAAAGTGTGTGGCAGCAGGAAATCCCAACGTGCCCAAGAAGAGGGGTCAGACCCGTAAGGTGCAAGTGGGAAAGGTAAGCCTTGCCCTCTGCTGGCATTTTTCATAGGGCAGGCTAGATCACCCCAATAAGTTGAAAGGAGCCAGTTAGCCACAGAAATGTGATTATTTCATATGACAGAAGGCACAGGCGTATCAACACCGTATCATTCACTGAGTAATTTCTACAAAGCTAAATGGTTTTCATGGATTCCTAGTAGAAACCTTATAAAAGCAACCAAACTGTTATTGTTTGAAGATTACCGTAGTAACTTACTTTTTTTTTTTTACTTTTTATATCATTTAACTACAAAGGGAGTATCACGTGCATTGTGGTGACTTGTTTATTGATAATTCTTCTGTTCCTGTGCTGGTTGGAAAGTGATTCTGTAAACAAACTTCAGTATAAATCAGTGCTCATTTTAAGATTAAAACCGAGTAACTGAACAGGTTTCAGTGACACCGTAAATGTACAAATGGATTGCTTTGTGGGAACTGACTTAATCCTCACAATGTTCCATTATCTGATAAATGATTACTTTATTCTACTTTTTCAAGTTACCTGCACTGTGTCTGCAAGTCGTTCAATAATTCAGTGCATTATTTTGGTAATCTGTAAGGTTGTCGGTAGAAGGGTATAAGAAAAGAAAATAGCTAATTACTTTCATGAGAAATATGGGGCAATCTCTTCTGTGAGCAAATTACTGTATCGCAAATTTATTATAATATGTATAAAGCTATCAATATATATTTTATTTCTATCACTGTTAAGTGTCAGTGAATATAGTGGGGACATGTGAAGTATACTAAGCATTTTCTTAGAAGGACTGTTATTTTAACTCGTTTTACGGTTACACATTCGACTTACTGCTTATACTTGTGTCTTCCGTGGTGTAGTTGCAGACTTTCAGGTTTCTACAGGAGTGTGTAAGTAAACTGTGAGTTAATGTAGCTGATGTCCTTCAGAGCAAATGCAAACCCTTTGAAAAGGAGACCCCATTGTCAGGGAACTCCTCATGTGATTACAGAGCAGAAAACATTCCACAACACTCATCCATGGACATGGGAGAGGAGACTCTGCATTCAAATAGATATTTTAAGACCTACAATACTAAAATATTTATAATTATTTTTAATAGCAGAAAAACTGCTAAGGAGATATTGAAATTATAAACAGTTTAAATACAAGCATTCTAAGGAAAAATATAATACTGAAAAATGCCATCAGCTATTCATAGTGGTTTATTTTATAAATCACTGTTATAAAATTGGTTCACTTTATTTTTATTTTATACTTTTATATACTTGTATTATTAGATGTGTACAATACAATAAATGAATATAGATTTTTCAATTAGCTCTTCTTCTTTTTGTTCTTCATATCTTTGTCAGTTTTTATAAAATAGCCAGAATCTGAATTTGAATAGTCTTCCTTCAGTTTTAATAGTTTGCTTTATAGGAAAAGGGGACCAGGAACTAGAGAAAAGGTGAGATCAAAAAGAATTAACCTAGAAGGTAACACACACGCACAGGAAATTAATGTGAGTCAACTCGTGTATAGCTATCCTTATCTCAACCAGCAAAAACCCTTGGTCCTTCCTATTATTGCTTATACTCTCTCTACAACAAAATTAGAAATAAGGGCAAAATAGTTTCTGCCAGGTACTGAGGGGGTGGGGGGGAGAGGGAGGGGGTGGAGTGGGTGGTAAGGAATGGGGTAGGGGCAGGGGGGAGAAATGACCCAAGCCTTGTGTGTGCACATATGAATAATAAAATAATAATAATAATAATAAAAGAAAACATAGGAAGCTTAACAAAAAGAAAAAAAAATAATAGTTTGCTTTAAAGCCTGAACAAGGTAGCCCTCTTTACCAAGATGATGCTGTCAGAGTTGCTGATTTCCACTGATGTTAACAGACTTAAAGAAACCACTATGCATAATTTTAGATGATTGCTTTGTTCAGAAGTGTACACTTCATAGATTATAATGGATGTAGTACAAGTCAAATAAAATTGTGAATTCTAGAGCTTTAGGATTTCATTTCTAATAATTTTCAGTGAAATGCTGTTATTCTATTAGTTTCACATTTTCCTGACTAAAATTTCTAAAGAGTTTTTAATATAGTGCACTTTAAATTGTATTCTCAAATGGCTTGTCCTGACTGTTAAATCAGATGCCAGGTATAAGAAGACTCACAGGATTTGATGATCCATGGCCCAATGTGTTCCCTTTTCCCAGCACCCCACAATCACCAGATGGTTCACTCCAGGACACAGACATTTGCAATGAGTGCAGGCAAAGTCTGAAATCTGAGCTGATTTAACAGAGTGATCACATTGCTTCCTTTCCCTCAGGAACGGAGGTTGGACTCCCTGGACCTCGTGGTCACCCTGCAGCACCACCTGTGGGATTGGCTTCCAGGTGCGGCAGCGGTCCTGCAGCAACCCCACGCCCCGGCATGGGGGCCGGGTGTGTGTGGGACAGAATCGCGAGGAAAGGTATGTGCCACTCTGCTCCCAGCATCTCCGTCCTCATGCTTTCTCCCATCCCAGCGTGGTCAGTTTTAGTTTTGGATCTAGCTTAACTTATCTGTGGCATCCCTTTTGGTTCTGTTGAGTTGTCTTCTTATTTTTTGACATCCTTTAATTTTGACTAAAGTCTCCTACTAAGAGCATCTCTCTTTGTGCCTACATGGTGGGGCTGGCTCAGTAGAGCAACTTAACTCCCAAGCCACTGGGGACTCAGGCACCTCTGTGCTGAGCTCCTGGAGACAGAGAAAGAGAGGCTGTGGAAAATGGCTGTTCTTGAGACATTTAAACTAGACCTGTCTCAGAAGCTACAATTCCCAGGAGGCCCCAGAAAAGGTCAGATCCAGGTGATGCTGGGCAGGTAAGGCAAAGTTTCCATCAGAAGTAAATGAAGTGGCTGGGGTTCAGGAGATAGCATACTCAGGGATCGGTTACAGTTGGAGCTACATACTAGTCTCTTAAACGCTCTCAAATACCACAAGGATCCTTTCTTTTTTTCAGCATATACTGGTGACATTTCCACTTAGTTTTGGATCTAATAGTGTGTTTCTTTGTGTAGAATTAATCGTTTGGTTTTTCCCCAAAAATTGACAGTTGTGTTGTTGAATCTTTCTTGCCATTTAATGTGTATTCCAGTTTGTCACTACTGGCAGAGATTCCAAATGCGTGAATTTCACAGTACTTTTAGGATTCTTATTCTGCTCTACTGACAACAAGTTATTGAATGGTTTTCAGTGCCTTTTAACAAGAAGTAATAAACTTATATTTGGTGACATGAGTTCAGTGGAGTCTCACAAAAACCTGTATACAGTTGTGTACAGCTAGGTACTCTATATAGTTATATATACAAAACAAACTGGCTTACTATACAGGTAGTTACTAGTAAGTATTTATTACTTGAGATCAACCGGGGAGTATATTTTCTTTTACTCTTCAATGTGTTCCTCAACTACCAATCAAGATTTCCTCCTTTTTGACTGATAGGAAAAGGAAGGTAACTTTTATATCCAGGGTTTGTCATTTTTGAGTAGTCCTGAGTCAGCCTTGTACAGATCTGTCATTTTCCATCTAACACCTATTGATAGGTGGGAAAGCTGTTTATTGAAGAACTGTCTACCTGATATTTCCAAGCCTTGTAAGATTTAAAACTGGTTGGAAGTACTTAAATGCTATGAGTTTTCACATTGCTGAGCCCATTCAGGCAAAGCCACTCTCATCTGGGCAAAGGCTTCCCTGAAGTCTGATAAGTGGCCTCATCTTCTGAGCACAGACGGAGGAAGATGCTGCATATTGCTGTGGTTAAAATTCATCCCTATATCCACATGTAAGTGGTCATGATGCTGTGCTTTCAGGAAAAGGTCAGGGAAAAGATGGCTTGTGTCTGGGGCAATGACATGTAAAATGTTCTTGTGCACAGAGGACGTGTTCACTGGGGAAAGATAAGAATGTGCTCAATTGAGGAAGTTTTAATTTGAGTAATAAAGAGATGATGGATGGATGGCAAGAACATGGACTCTATAAGATTTTTACAAAATTAATTTTTCTCTGTGGTATAGCATTTCTAGAGGGCTACCAGGAAGTTTTTTAAATCTAGAAAAACCAAATACCTGATAGCCCTTGTCTTTTGTAGGCAAAAAGGTCTCAAATTTCTTTGCCATGCTACATGAGGTCTCTCCACCTAAGGAGTATTAAAAAACAAAACAAAACAAGCAAACAACAACAAAAAAATCCTACCCTTATTTAGTAATAGAGATATTTGAGAATTAGATTAAAGGAGCTCATGACCTCCATGGGAAGGTACAAAATTCTAAGGGGTCAGCATATGAATTAATAAAATTATGCTTCTTTAAATACCATCAAACCTAAAGAAGTCCCAGATGGCTACAAGTGGATAAATTGATTCTCCCCCACATTCCCTAAGTTAATGCCAGGATTGTAGATAATGGTTTCATCTGTGACAAAACCTCCTTTATATGCAATAATTCAGCAGGAAATTAGGTTGCAACAAAATCTCTCAGAAATTTTTTCACATTATGTTTTATTCCTCCAAAATAACATATAAAGAAGGTATCTCACTTAATTTTTTTAATGTGCTATTAACTGTGTGGACATTTTTTTCTGTTCTAAAATTTCCTTTGAAAGAATATTGTTGAGTAGCATGAATGTGTTGAAGTACCATTCCCAACGAGACCAGCAAGGAGGCAGAAGAAACAGAAGTTGGTGCAAATATCATCAAAATGCAAATATGATTGGTTATCTGTGTCCTACTGTACACACTTGTTCCACAAACACCTTTAGTACCTCACAGTCTCAATGGGTCGGGTATTCCTGTGTGACTATCTGGATCCTCTGCTCAGGCCTCAGCAGTACTTGGAAGCTATTTCTAAATTTTAGATCTTTTGCCATCAGGAGGGGCTGATTTCCGAAAATGATTCAGCCTTTGTTCCTTCTGCTTATTAGTTCACCCTTCAATTTTTCTCTCTCCTCCTGCACTATCAGTAAGCAATGAAACGTCAAGCAGCACTTTCAACACTTTGCTTGGTCATTTCCTTAACTATGTAATGCACATTCGCAACTTCCACTTCTCACATCACTGTAGGCAGTAATTTGGGATGCTTTTTTATCATTATAACCAAGTTCTCCCTCCTAGTTTATGCTTATGTTTCCTTTTTAGTTTTTATTATGGTAAAATATAGGTAAATTTGCTACTTAACTATGTTTTAGTTACTTGAGAACTTACTTGGATAAATAAACACATTTTGTGTATCTGAATTGATGTTAAATTTGGAGTCAGCTAGCCTTGGCCCATCAGAGTGTGCTGGAAAGGACATTCAGAATTAATCTGCACTCACAGAACAGCTCGGGCACCATCAAGTGAAGAGAACTCCCTTTATATTGTCTGATGAGAGACCGATGGAGTTGTCCACACCAGAGCCTTTTCTCTCTTGTTTGCTTTCTTTTCTTTTTATTGGCGGTATTAAATTGTACATAGGTAAAGGTACTATGAGGTTCCCACACATGCATGTGATATATTTTGAGCATATTCACTGCATCTGTGACTCTATTTTCTCTTTCTGCTGTTCTTTTTCCCTCTTACCTCTCTGTCAGTCCCCCTTTTACATTCATGACCTTGGTTTTAGTTTCTTTTGTCTTGTTTTAAATGTTTAATTCATGTAAGTGGAATCCTACAATATTTGCATTTTTCTGACTCACTTGTTTCATGTAGCCATCAAGATTCATCAACATTGCAGCTTATGTCATAATTTCAACCCGTTCTTAAATGTTATTAATATACAGTTGTATGTCCATAAAAGCATTTTACTTATCCATTTACCCATCAGTAGATAAAGGTTATTTCTTCTTTGTGTCTATTGTGAATAATGCTAGAGTGGACATTGATTGGCATTCAAGTTTATATTCCAAGTCTTTTGTGCACACATCTATGAGTGTAATTGCTAGGTCATACATTAATTTCTGAGAAGCTGCTTTCCATTGTGGCTTTGCCATTGTATATTCACACCACCAATGCACAAGTGTTCCAATCTCTCCACATTGTTGCCAACTCTTAGTTCTTTTCTACTGTTTCCATTGTTGCCATTCTAACTTATAGTTATAACACCAAAGATAAAATTAAACTTGTAATGTTGACTTGAATTTCCCCAATAACTAAATGAGATTGAGCATTTCCTTGTGTGCTTAATTATGTGTTTTATTTGAAGAAATATATTCAGGTCCTTTTCCCATTTTTGGATTGTGTTGAATTTTTTGTTCAGTTGAGAACTTTATCCTATTTCCTTCTAAACCGTCACTGTCATCATCCAAAAGTCTAAAATTTTAGTAATAGTTTATACAAAATGATTCAAGTTTTCTCTACCAAGTTCCACAAAGTTCTTGCTTCTGTGCATCCCTGGTCACAAAGCCACTTTCACATGTTTAGGTATTTCTTACATTAGCACCATGCTTCAAAGTACTACAATCTGTTTTATTAGTCTTTACGTAACAATATTACCACAGTTGTGACTGTTTAAAAACCACATCTTTGTGTGCTTACAGTTTCTGTGCATTCAGTTGGGACACAGCTCTCCTGGGTCCTTGGCTCCAGGTTGTCACAAGGCTGCAAATAAGTCATAGGCTATGGCTGTGTTCTCATCTGATGTTCACCTGGGGAAAGATTCCCTTAGTTGTTGACAGCTTGAGATCCTTGTGAGCTGTCAGGCTGAGGGCCTCAGGTTCTTGCTAGCAGTTAACTGAGGGTCACCCTCCAGCTGGGCCTTTTCCACCTTACTTACTGTTTGCTTCCTCAAACCCAGCAAGGAAAGTTTTCTTGAAATAAGGACATGTTGATCTTATATGACACAATCACATAAGTGTCATCCTGTCATCTTTGAAATATTCTGTTGGTTAGAAGCAAATGACAAATCTTACCCATACTGAGTAGGAAGGAGTTTACATAAGGTGTGAATTTCCGCAGGTGGAATGAGGGAGGCCCATTAGCGTGTATCCAATAGATTATCACACTTAAGGGTCTTAGGAGCCACTGGGAATTTATTGCAGGATTATTTTTTTGTCTTTATGGACATGTTTGCTTTATCCTATGATAAGCAAAAGTGATCTTCTCTGGTAGTTATAATCTCCTCTAGTGTGTTATCTTAAAAATTATGGTGGATTTGATGTATAGACCAGTTTTCCTGGTGCCATAAAATGTTTAATTATTCCAGAATGGCCTATTAAAGGAATGATCACTTCTCTCACCAAGGAGAAAGCAATTCTTTAAATGTCCCTGAATGGGTCAGGATGACAGAGGTTGCTGTGAGAAGCCAGCATAGAGCCAACCAGAACAGTACACAGTTAATAACATGAAGAACTATGAGGAGAAAGTTGCACAGTGTTATTACCGTCTGACCTACATGGGATTATGAAAGATCTTTTTTTTTCCACAGAGAGTAGGTTTATGGAAAATTGGAAAATTGATGGGGAAATCATGCTGGGTCAGCTTTTAAATGTGAAATAAAATAACCAGTCATGGGCAAAATAAAATCTTAATTTTTAAATGCATCATAAAATGCATCTGTAACTTTTATTGCTTTAAGATAGTAGAGACCCAAGAGAATCTATGAAATTTCAAAACTATTTAATTTGTTATTTGGTAAAAGGTAGCAGCATGTTGGGGACTGGAGAAATGAGGAGACAAATGTTGGTCCGTTTTATCATAAATTAATAAAAATCATTAGATGCTAAGGTAACTGTCTTCCCCTCTTCATGGTTGCTCTGCAATTTGGTAAGAGGGACTGCCCTCAAGGGTGCAGGTTAGGCGAAGGGGCATCAGAAGGACCAATTGCAGAGCAACCATGGGTAGAGACTGAGAAGGATTTGCCTCTGAGTAGCCAATTCCAGGTTGGATTCCTGAGTGAAAAATGCAAACACAAAGGACGAGATCACCTGGAAATTTCTATTGCCCTCTTCCCTTCCTTGGTAGAGATCTTGGAGTTCCAGAAAGTAACACTTCAAGAGGCCCCAGAGTGCCTTGTAGGACACAGGACAGCTCTGTAGATTGAGAAAGATGGAAATAAGGGAAGGCAAGTCACTGACAACTTTAAAACACATCCCAGGAGATAATTTACTAACACCAGTGAAAGTGCAGGGCTACATGCACAGGTTACCCTGCAGGAGATTTTTAACTGTTATAACATGCTGCGTGCTTTCAGAGGTGACCTGCTGTAGGGAAAAACAAAAACGTATTTATGCACAATGACTTATTTTGCTCTGGGGAAATAAGCTTAGTTGCTGTGCTTTTTTTCAAAAGTCAAGGGTTTTATAAGCATTTTCAATAAGATTTTCCTTTGCACTCTGTGTCTATATGGTTTTGTATGTGTGTGTACTTAAAAACTGAAATCAGGGACAAGAAGTCTAAGAAGTTCACACATTTTAAATATCATTGAATCAGTTTAAAAGTGAGAGCTTAAAGAATAACCCTTTTATTTCTCACTCCCCCCTCTCCAGCATGAGCTGAATGTGAATATTTACAGATAAGTGTGGAGTGTCCTGTTATTCTGAGTTTTCTTGACTTCCTCAAAATCTGTTCTCAAAACAAATGGCAGTGTCTTCCTGGAACCCTCCAAGCTCTAACACATGAACTAACATGTATTTATTGCAGCTCTACATATTTGCACAGACTTCCTAAGTACAAATTCCAAGTGCATATTAGTTCCTCACTTTTCTCTTGGCTCTCTGTTCTGCCTGGAGGTTACACACTCCTATTTAAAAGGTCCCTCTCCTCTCTCTGTGGCACACAATAGTGTCCAGTGGCCCTGACCTTGAGAAAGCAGGTATGAAGAGACCAGGCTGTTACCTTAAGAAGGCAACTTAATGCCCCTGTAATCTTAAACACTGAGAATATGAAGGGTAAGAACTAGCCAGAACATCAGCTACTCTGATGTTTGAATGTTTAGAAGAACTAAAGTATGGATGGTCCTTGACTCTAGAGGGTCTGTCGGCCATAGCCACTGAGTCTCCCTGGAAGTGACAGTGTCTCTAACCTTCAGCTGAGAGGCTGGGTTTGAACCAAATGTACCCCATTATGTTTGGTGATATTCAAAGTAACTTCTTCCTCTCTATGTGCTGTAACCTACAGAATGCCAAGCTCATTCCTTCTTGTTTTTCATTTGTTTATTTTTCTCACTTCACTTCATTTCACTTGTAGTGTTAAAGACCATAGAAAAATGTGACTCATCAGAGGATTAAAGAGGCTTAGGGTATTTGGCAAAAAAACTGGCAATATGTATGTATATAGAAGTCTAGTATTTAATGACTGTAAAATAATATTTATAAAATTGTGTAGTATGTCAATTTTTGAATAACCAGTGGTCTTTTAATTTCAAGGCATTTGATATCATTCTGAGAACCTAATAATAAATTTACAAATACTATAACCTAAGCAGTAAATGGTATGGGCCTTTATGCCAAACTCATGCTTTAGCTTTTTTCCAACTTATCCTAAGAAGATTGTGAGATTTATCTGGTTTACAAATGAAAAATGAATTCCAAATAAAGCTATGCTGACTTTGCATTTGTAATCTACTTTTGTCTCTCGATGTTTATGTTTTGAAGATAAATGCCTATCTACGTATTTTCTACATGCTCCTATTTTTGGGTGTCTATTTGAAGGGTTTTGTTTTGTCTTGTTTCCCCTTTAATTGGCTGCACAGGAAGATCCATCCTGCATTGTGAGTTCAGCATTTTCTTCATTGTCTGCCATGCATCCCATTGTGCACACACAGCATGGCCACCACCACATCTGCCTCCTGTATGGTGAAACCACTCCAAATACAACAAGCCCCACCATGCAGAGCATGCCCATATATCCAACATCTGGCCAGGGATGGAGAGTGGAAAGGCCTATGGCCTCATGTGACACTAAAATTTTCTTTCCTCTTGGTTTCCTCATTACAGATATTGCAATGAGCACCTGCTCTGCCCACCACACATGTTCTGGACAGGATGGGGGCCTTGGGAACGCTGCACAGCCCAGTGTGGGGGTGGCATTCAAGCTCGCCGCAGGACTTGTGAGAATGGGCCTGACTGTGCAGGCTGCAGTGTGGTGAGTAGGCTTCTCCTCAATCCAGATATGAGTTCCAAACTGAACACCCATTGAATGCTGTGCACACACTAGGTGCTCTACACACACTCTGTACACTGCAAGCACTGGATGTTGTGCACACAGCAGGTACTGTACACACACTGGACCCCTTTCAACACTAGATGCTTCACACACACTAAGAGTTCTGCAGTTTTTATGCTCTGCAGGTGGTATATGTTTTGTGAATATGGCATGTCCAGACACGGTATATCTGCAGGCACATGATACTCACAGACTAAATCTTCAAATCAACTCTCGGCAGACACTATATGTTGTGCAAATATGAAATGCTCTATGAGCACAAGACCTGGTTTTTATCCAGCCACCAGATGCTCTGCACACATTAGAAGGTGTGAATCATGCAAGTTTCTCTGGTTAATGGGAATGTCTGGAGGAAATACTGGAAATTCAGAGTATTTGAATTAAGTGTTCACATATGGGATAAACTGCCCCAGGAGTTTCCCAGTTCCAATTTCTGAGCTATGTTCAGTCTGCTTAACTCTGGTCACTCTATTTGGTTTGGGAATTGCGATAATGTCCCCATGCTGGCCTCACACCAAGGCACAGAATGTAGAATGAACCCAACATACTCTGGGGACAGAGAAACTGTGGAGCCATTGTCAGAGCAAGTTGGTACCACTTCAGAGGAATAAAAGACAACTTATGGTTTTATTTTCCTTCTGCCTTAGCAGGTCATATTTCTTTTAAGACTAAACTGTCAAATAAAATTCTGCTTTGTGAGCTCTTTTGAAAAGGCCCATTGTTGCTCACCCTGCTTCTCTGTAAGGATGACAAAGCATTGACAGCTGCTGGGTGGCCACCTCAGTCTCCTTCCCAGGTGCTGGCCACAGCATGACTGAGAGACAGTGGTGAAAGCTTGGTGGAGAAGCAGAACACAGGAAAGCCTGACTTGACATCCCTCCTCGTAGATCTTTGCAGTTGGTCTTTGTGACTCACCAACCCGTCATTTTGTGAGGCTGACCAGTGTCTTTGTGTAAACCTGACAAAACCTATGCATCCTAGATAATCTTGGAGACTTCAGAGAAAGGAAGAAGATTCTGAGATGCTGTGTCAGATCTTCTCCCAGACCCAAGGAGACTTTTCTTTTTAAGATTTGCAATTAATTTCCTCTCCATCACACTAGCATAGATATGGTAGTGGCTCTACTCAAATCTGTTACTTATCATAGAGGCAGTTTTCACCAGATCAGCCTGAACTAACTTTGAACCATGAAAAATTTACAGACAGACAGAGATAGAGAAATATCAGATGCTGAAATTCACAATTACTTATTAAAATGTAAAGGGTAAGCCTGTGGACACCTGCATGTTCGAAGAAAACCACTTGAATATGGAGTGTTTATTCTTGCTGCATTATTTCATCTGCCCTGCTGTCTTGGTGTACAAAAGCAGAGCTACACTTCCACATCAAAGTTTGTCTCACCTGCAAGAAACCTTGGGAAGAGATGACCTAAGTTGATCTTGCACCTTACATTCTAAATACTTAGCTGTGCAAAGAGTTCAGAAAACAATGCACACATTCACTTTTTACCCATGAATCAACTTCAGTAAGCACCTTCAAAATAGATTAATGAAAGAAAAAAATTTATATTAAGGGAAGAGTGTAGCAAATCTCTTAGTGAGTTACTGGAATATGTAAGCATGTGTATGCATGGTGCATCTGATTATGAGTGTGAAAATTGAAGGTCTACAAATAGCAACTGTACTTGTTGCTTTGTTATAATATTGTGGTTTATAGATTGCTGGCTCAATGTGTATTTCTTTGTGAAGGATGTCTTTTATCAAGGTAGTAGCAGTTAGTATAGGTAATTTGTTGGTTTTATAATTGTGAAGTGATTGTGTTTTTGCCAATATCTAGTTGGATGACAAGTGAGGCATTTTGTTGTTGTTGTTTTTGGAAGTACTGGTATTTGAACTCAGGGCTTCACACTTGCAAAGCAAACCCAAGTCTCCAGGCCTTTTACTCTGGTTATTTTGAAACTAAGTCTCACTTTTTGTCTAGACTTGGCTGGACCGCGATCCTCCTATTTTAAGTTCCTCACCATCACTGGGACGAAAGGCATGTACCACTATACCAGTTTTTCCCTTGAAATGGAGTCTCCCAAACATTTTTGCCCAGGCTGCTCTGGAATAGCGATCTACCACATCTCAGCCTCCCACACAGCTTGAGATGATGACAGATGGATACCACTGCACCCAGATATCGGTTGAGATGTGATGCCACAAACTTTTTCCTGGGCTAGCCTCGAAACACTGTCCTCCTGATCTCAAGCAGCTAGAATTATAGGCATGAGCCACCAGCAGTCAGCCAAGTGATGCCATTTCTGAGTCTCAGTCTCCCTCTTTGAGGTGACTCCCTCACACCCCCAGCCACTGTAATTAGAGGTGGTGATGCAGGCTGGGTTCTAGAAGATGTTGAACATTTGACTTTTCCTCCCCACTCTCACTTCTTTGTCATCCCTGGGTAATAGCTGCTTCTCTAGGCTCCAGCTTATTAAAATGGTAGTCTACTAATGAAATGTTACGTGATCAGTAAAGGTCATGTTTGTGGAAAGTGTAAGAACCAAAATGTCCTCAGCATCACAGTGCCTTATAGAAAGAGTTGGTGTTTCCTATTCAAGTATGAACAGGTGTAAAAGACTCACGAATCTAACCTTGATCTAGCATTTTAAAGCTGAAATTTTCACTGTGAAATTTCAGTTTCACTTGTGAAATTTGTATGTCCTTGTCTTTGAATAAATCACTTTGCCTTTGTTAAACCTCAGTAAAGGGAAATTAGTTCAGAACTTTTTTAAAGGATGCTTGTGAGAGCTGTTGGTTCTTTCCGAGAAACTCTGCTCACAACGATTCTATTGTTTAAGGAGAGAGGACCTGAATTCTTGGGGTGGTTTGGGGAACAGATCATCAGGCACAGAGGGAAGGAAGGCCTAAGTCTTACACTGCCTCTTACCTGTGAGAATCTGTGTCCTGCTCACTGCCCTCAGGGTGTCTGTATCCTCCTCTGCAAAGGGCAGGGCCAGGGCCTAAAACTTGATGCTCTGTGACTCTGGAATCCCATTCTGGACACCAGGACATGTGTGTCCAGCTGACTGAGTGAACACTTCCAGTGAGCATCCCTCCATCCCTGGTGGCTGAGCTCTGATGAGCTTGCAATAAGATGCACCAGGAGATTTACAGCACAGACACTTATTCCCCACTGCTCTCTGGTCTCTGCAAGCCTGTGTCCTCTCAGAGCTGAAGGATTTAGGTCTGAGAGGCCCTTCCTACTTCCTGCTCTGCCTGAGAGTCACAGGAGAGCTTACTGCTCTTCCACCTCTGCAGAAAGGCATCTTCAGTTGAAATGTGGAGCTCTAACACTGACCAACAGAGCTCTTTGGAAGATCACATATAATACTTGACACTTACATATATTCTGTCCAGTGTAGAATCAAACACGAGCATTCATCACATAGAAATTACTATCATCAACCTTACTTTCATAAACTCAGCTTCAGGAAAAAATGTTCTATCCTTTAATAATAAATAATAACAATAGAAGGTATTTTATATTTTATTATATTTCAAATTATTTTATGTTGACATACAAATATTATTTCATATTAATATTTTGTTAATATGTAAATATTACTAACATTTATATTGATTATCTTTGGTATATTTGTGTTTAACTTTTACCTGTTTTGGTAAGTGAGTATACTCATAATAATATTTGTGAGATCAAATCTTGCAAGTCCCAACTGACTGTGTGATATCAAATCAAATATTGAAATCAAATTATAACTACATGTTTTAAATTATAACCTTGAACACTAGAATTATTATTTGGGCATGTCATGATAGCCTGAAATCCTGTGCTGCATATTAAAATAAATAATTTTAATTGAGCACCCGTTCCATGGCATGTTCTGTACTAAGGGTAGTGAAAATGTGTTGACATTCTGGAGAGGCAGTTTTCATTATTACCTCCCGCTCTAAATGGGAACAATCAACTTGAGAAAGATTAGTGAACTTTCCCCGTAGCATGTTTGGCACAAATAAAAATTGTAAAGCTATGACTCCATTTGCATAATTTACTTAGAAAGAAGCCTTACTGTTCTTCATTGCTATTGAGTATGAAGCATGTCTTAAAAGAAAGAAGAGTTTTTAGACAACCATGACTCTTCTCTTGTTCATTGGCACCCTTGATCTTCATATTATTGCAATCGTTCTCCTGCTGCCACACATGAGCGTGCCATCAGATTGTCTTGTCCACGGAAATTAATTGAAGATAAACCCACAGCACAAATTTTTGTCCTGTGTTCTGGCTGAAGATTACAACACGTGAAAAGAATGAAAACATAAAATGTTATGCTGTATGTTGCTTCTTAAATTAATGTAACCCAAAAATCCCTCGAGGGATAACAGATGTTTAAAAGTACAACTAAAGATAGTGTCACACACAGCAAAGATAATTTTAAAAGAAAAACACTTAGTACTGCATGCACTATATTTCTCACTGAAATATGCAAAGCATAAAGCAGCTGACCAAAAGCTATGATTTAAAATACCAACAGAGACCAAAGGGCAGAGATTTAGTTCCTAGATACAAAACATCTGGACCACAGAAGGGTCAGAAAGGTCAAGAAAAACAACATTACAATCAATACCAATACGTAATGTCAGAGGGACTCTGTGAAAGTTAGTGAGAGTTGATGTAACATGCTCAAAATTGTGTCACATAACGGCCCTGTGGATAAATCTTAGGAGCAACAAAACCTGGGAAAAGGAAATTTAAGTAGATTGTGTTGTATGAAAATAATGACATTGTTACATAAAGTTTTATGTAGCACATTAAGGTTTTCAGAGTGCTTTAGGGAATGTTATCTCATGTATTCCTGCATTTCTAAGTGAGAAAATCAAGACCCACAGAAAACTAGTGGGGTACCTGAACCCTGCATTTGA